CTCCCCTTCCGCCGGTTGGTTGCCTTTCAGACGGTCAGGTTGCTCGAGGTGGTGCAACAGGGCTTGAGACGGAGGGCGCGAGCGACGGTGTGGCGTCGAGGATGAGAGAGCCCGAGAGAAAGGTGGAAACGTTGGGAGAGAGAGAGAGAGAGAGAGAGAGAGCGGGGATGGAGGAGGTTGCCAGTGCGACGAGCTGGAAAGGATGGTCGATACTATCTTCCAGCAGACGCAGAACGTTCCTATTTATTCGGGTTAAGTAGCAGGCGAGCTTCTACATACGGTGTGCCACGGATGCGCTTTACCCTCGCGAAACTTTGTTAGCGCGGAGGAAGGAATCTGTCCCTCTCTGACGATCGAAGACTTCCGGTCCAACCAGGGAATTACCATTGTTCGAGGAAGCAAGGAGCTCTGCTGTTGTTACAGGGCCAGCTCGTCGTGTAAGCGTTTCGCGCCATTTAGCTAGTTAACGGTAGTCCGCTAATTATTCCGTACGACTCGCTGCGGATTCGATTCTCGCGCGACGAAACTCGAAAGTACGCGCTCCGTCCCAAACGCGCCATCGATATCGATAACGCGGAAAGGAGAGCGAATCAACCAGATACGTATAGTACACTGATAGATGATAGGTCGAGGATCGTGGAGCGCGCGTACACTGTCCCTTGGAGAAAACTGTAATAATATCGCAGGACGATTCTTTGATTAACGACGCGTTCCAGCCGGATCCCCGAGCGCGAAGAACTTTTTTATGCGTCGCTAAATCACATTCGTAGCCTCGTTTTATGTTAATTTTATTTTCCGCGTTGACCGTTTTTCGCAGAGTTCCACCGGTAGGAAAAGATAAACGAGACGATGAATTATTCATTCACAGATAAGCGCGATTTTAACAAAGAACGATTGCAGTCTGCGCGCCGCTGGCTACCGTGTCTGGTTTTCGTAGGAGGCAGACTTATTTCGGTGGATGCAACGATGGCGAACGGGGGTAAACGGTGGGCAGAGAAGGTAGATGAGGAGGAGGAGGAGGAGGAGGAGGAGCGCGTCGATATTCGGACGCGAACCGCCAATAAGGAAGACGTATACGATTTTGCAGGACCCTCTCGAACTGGTATTTCGAACGACGTAATTTCCGAGCGTCCGACCCACGGAACCGAGGACTCTCCTCCTCCTCCTACCCGTTCACGGACTCGATCGTTTATCGCGCGCGCGCGGGTCGATTAATGAACGGATAATCGATTTACGCCAATTTCGAGGAAACTGTTGGCCAAAGTACAACGTCTTTGATGGCGCAGCCGCAAATCGTTGGATCGACCATATGCGCGGTTTTCAACGAAAACAATTTCGCTGTCTTCTCAATCCGTTGCAAACCACAATGGAATTCATCGTCTATACCTACGAACTGGGATTTGTACCGCAACTGTTTTCAAAGGAACACCGCAACGAGAATAAAGGGGGAACAGGATTTCTCCGCGTTCACCCTATCCAGCTTTCTGCCTGCCTCCTGCCATGGATGTGCCTAGGTGTAACGATTTTATCGAAACATCGCTCGTACGATAAACGCATCACCGCGTTGCGCCACGATCCGACCACGCGAAATACGCGTACACACCGGCGTGGCGCGGCGTGTGTAACGTGTGTGGAAACAGGGTGGTTTGGAAAACGGTCGTGTCGTTACGCTGATACGCCGAGTTACATTCTTTTTTCCCCGCCCCGTTTTTCTTTTTGTTCCTCCTCCTCTTTCCGTGTCACTCCGACGATGTTTCTCGTTTGATTTTCGTCCACGAGTCGCAAGGATAAAAGCGACGATCCATCGGTGAGCTATCTGAAGTAGAAGGGTCGCCAGCACCGGAGAGTAGCTCTAGCTCCCCTTGGTCGTCTGCACTACTCACCGTGGCCGGAACGCGCGCGCATGGTTAACAATTACCGTTATCGTTACCGTAACGAACGAAATTGGCTGTTGCGTCAGTTTCAGTTTGCCGAACAAAGTAAAGCAAAGTGGTGGGAGAGGGAAAGGAAGGCCTAGCGTAGAGTAGATGGAGGTGGGAAAAAACGATTATCCCGTTAGGGAGAAATTTTTATGCCCGCTGGATCCACTGCACAGGTTTCCTTCGTGGCTGTAACGCCGCTTGAGATCCCGCTACGGTACGGAGCAAACTGCGCGTTTCTTCGTTTCTCCTATCTCTCGGAACGGGAGAAAACGTAGCGAGAGATCCCTCGCTCCGTCGACGAATCGCCGAGGGAAGAAAACGGTGGAAAGTTAATTTCCCCTCTTTTTTTCCATTTGCGAAGATTTCCCCGCGGCACGCGTTTACAAACGACCGAGCTTATTATCGTCTTTAAAGTACCCCTCGAATCCATTCGCGCGCGCATCGGCTTTCGAGAGATAGCGGAACAACGGAATAATTGTTTCGCCTATCGGCCTCTCCACGCTTCTCTCCTTTCCGGTACATACTTTCTCATCTATCGCGGCGAATATTGATAACAATTGCACTCGAATTAACAGTTGCTCCCCGTCTCGGTTATTTCCGTGGTCCGCCGATGTGAACAAACAGGGAAGGAAATAACGCGTTACATCGAAAAATAGACAGCCAAAGTATCGTCCTTTCGTGGCAATCGTTGGAAAGCTGTCGGACCGGAAATATTTATGAACGCGGAAGATGCGAGCAGCCGTCTCCCTGTTCGGATCGGTACCGCCGGTACGGACAAAGATTTGGCTGGATGCTGCGTCGAAAGCCGAAGATCGGATCGTGGCCGCGATCTGGTGGCCGTGGGAGGCGCGCGTCAGGTCTTTCGGTGTGGAGGACCGCGTGCTTTTCGCACCTGCTCTAGTCGCAACGCGCACGCGCCCAGGTATACGACATACCGGCGCACAAACCTAAACTGGCGCGACGTCGAGCTTTCGTAGTCGGCATCGGCCATCCGCGACGCGAACTTTCCCTCCGAGACGCTCCTCGCCACGCCGCGCCGCGCCGCGAGACGTCGCGTCGTCGCTAACGCGAATCATCCTCTCGCTTTGCTCTTCTCTTCGTTCTCGAGCGAAAGAAGGAGAAGAAGAAGAATTATCTCTCTTCGCGGCTCTCTATATTCCAATTTCAAATCTCGCGGGGTTGCGTCGCGAACTCGTCCTTTTCAACCATTCCGATTCCATGTTCTCGTCTCTCTTTTTGACGCGTCCACGAACCGATCGGTTCTACCGTCTGCGGATCGCACTGGCATACGGAAGGACAACGGCCGTGTGCACCCGATGAACCGGAAGTAGCCTTGCCAGAAGTAGCCGCTGTCGACGGCGTTGCGGTAAGCCGCTCTTAATCCCAATCGAAGATCAACCGAGTAGCCTCTGTGAGAAGTTGGAAATTCAATTAAGCAGGAAGGTGGGGAGGTGATCTCGAGCGATCGAGGGATCACCGAGAGACAGTTTCGATTTAGTCGTGGGTACGCGGACGGAACTTTGTCGTAGATCGCGATATCTATCGCGTGGTTAGTCCGCGTTAAAGGGTGTACAAAGGCTGGTGAAAAGTTACTCGTGTCGATGCTATTATGTCCGATAAGTAAACGAACCTACGTACACCCACACTACGCTCCACCCATTCTTTGAATGGATCCGAAAGGGAATAGTCTCGGTCAAATCAATACGCATTCGCGTCATACAGTTGGATGAGAATATAATTGTCGATGTGCGTGTGTCCAGTAGGACGGTCGGTGTTGTGCACGTGTCAGGAGAGAAAAACAAAGGGACGGTCCCGACCGACTGGACCGGTCGAATCGGTTGGGAATCCTCGAGTAAACAGCAGCCTAGCTCGCTTAATAATTTGCTCGTCGTTTGTCCTCTCGGGTACCAGTCGACCTCGAGGTCCCATCGCATTCGCAGCAAACAGAGATGTGCTTCGTTTCGCGATATTACCCGTTTCCGTCGGGATTTCCTCTCAAATAGAGTTCTCTGTTCGGTTTTCCTCGAGTTCCGTTTGAACGGTGTGTGATTTGTGCCTGGAATTTCGGACGTTAGAATCGACCGACGCGTAGCGGCACGCGTGCAGGCACGTTACCCAGACGAAGGACACACGTGCGCGTTCCTAGTCGAAGGAGCTCGCGGAGCTTTCGGCGAGATTGCAACAAGTTGCATTTAAAAGCCGTACCTTCCGTACGCCGGCAGACTTTCCTTTTTCTCTTTTCTCCGCTCGAGCCGTCTCTCGCGCCTCCCTCCCTCTTTCTCTCTTTCTCTACCATGTGATGTGGTGTGGTTGGAAACCAAGTCGAATAGTCGTTTCAGATTTTCCGCTCGATCGATTCCCGAAATTCCCGGTTAAATAACGACGGTCGATCAAGAGTGTGCGGTAATTCGGTGAACTCGACTTGAGTACGCTTTCTTCCTAGGATTCGCCTCGAATCTGCTACTTCCTTCTGCGGATATCCTCCAGTCTTATTTTTCGTCGACGTTGCGATCGTTGTTCGAGATTCCCAGGCGAAAATTACCCACCCTCTTAACGGGCCTGTCTCGGTGCCAAACTATCGCCGGCTACGCTATCGGACCACCAGATCGGATGACGCGGCTCTACTCAAAAATCGCGGAAACTTGGAAATCTTGGCGAGAAGTATTTAAACGCTCGAGAGGACTTTTAAACGAAGTCAGGGAAGCCCTCTTGACGAGGGTGCGAGGAGACGTAATACCGTGAAGGGTCGGGACGCGACCTGCCTCCCTTGCCGTTTGCACCCAACGTTCGTCTCGCGACGCGACGTTCTTGCTCGCTCGCCTCTCCCCTATCCAAGTATCGTAGTAGTTGGTTCGGTTCGAGGTAAATTCGAAAGACGCGTTTTCGAGGTTTTTCGACACAGGGGAAGGAAAGGGAGGTCGAAATTGGGCTGAATTTTTCAAGTGAAATCCGCTACCGATGCTTATTAGCGAATCAGTATCGTTGACGCAGTGTTGTGCATGTACACGTGTGTGTTTACACGGTAGATCGTCGCGAGAAGGAAGGAGGAGACGAGGAGAGAGGAACGAGGTGGAAGAATCGAAGAACGGTGAAGGTTGCCGAGTGTTTCGAGGCCCGATCGCCGAGGAAACGTGCCCGACGATGGATCTTACGCTATTCTTAATCGCCGCACTTCTCGGACAGGAGGGTGAGTAACTGATTTGAATTTCCCGTTTAAAAATTCATCCGGTGAAAATTGTCGCGGTGAAGTGTGGAACGGGGAAACGCGAGTGCTTTCGCGGCAGACGGCTAATATTAAACGCCCGATCCTTGGGAAGTGGTTTCGTTTCAAAATGGCCGTTTGCCCTGTGGTCCGCCGATACCGACCGTTATGCCTCTGGCTGAATAATCTTTGTCCGAAAAGAGAGGAGGAGGGTAGAAATACAAAGGTCTAAAAAGAGCCGTGACGCAAATGCTGACTCTCGTTTGGGAGTGCGCGAGGCGAGGAATGGAGGGAACGGTTTAAAAATGGCACTCTTTCTAATTACGTTCCGCCGTTTCTTCAGCGTTATCGCGGTTTTCCCGAGAGCAACGTACGCGAACGAGGCGGTAAGAGGGGCACGACCCGAACAGCGGGAAGATGGAGGGAGAAGGAAGAGGAAAAGGAAGAGGAAGAGGAAAGGGGTTGGGAAGGGTGGTGGTGGTGAGCAAGAGAGCCGAGAGAAGGATGGCTAGAATTTATGACGTTCCGGTACGCGAGCTTGAGGATGGGAGAAGGAGAAGGAGAAGGACGAGTAGTCGTTAGAGAGCGGAAAAATAAAAAATCCCGCGTGAAGGAACACGGCTCGCGCACGGTGCAAAGGTAAAAATTAAACGAGCGAACGCGGGATCTTCGGTAAAGAGTCGTAAACCTTTGGGCGAGAGCCAGGATCAGAAGTTGATGCTGTATCGCGGTTCATCGGTTAACCGTTAAGATTTAAGGGTAATAAGGATGAAGGAGGAAGCGACGACGACGCTATCCTCGCGCGTCTCCTCCGTCTAGACGAGAGAACTCGAGGAGATCGTGCACGGGACTTGGCGCACTGTGTGTACAAGGATGGGAATTCGATATGAAATTTTCAGACGGTAAACTTGGTGGTAAGACGATCCGTCCAAGAGAATGGATTAGCATAAATAAATAAAACATGCATCCAGCCGAGATATCGAAAGCCTCTGCTGCCTCCGCTCTCTCTCTCTCTCTGCGTTGGTGAACTCGCGGGAAAGACAATCACATGAGGATAGAAATCGACGAGTTAATTGCGGAGGAAAAGAGAAACTCGGTCGTGCGTTGGGCCGCTTCGCTTGTATTCATAAATTATCGGTATTATGCCGAACAGACGCGTCGCCTCTCCCTCTCGCCCTCTCTCTCTCTCTCTCTCTCTCTCGTTTACCAATACCGTGGGCGTTATAACGTGCGCCGTCGAACGCGACAGGATGGTCGCCGCTTTTATAATGGGATAATATTAACTGTAAATATTTTTCCGTCGCTCCATTTGCGGTGGCGTTCGGCAATCGCGGCGCATACATCAACGTTAAACGAAGCATCCGGTCCGCGGGAAACCTGTAATGTTCACTCTCCTCGGGACGTACGAGTTCTCTAAGTAGTTGGTCATCCAACTTTATCTACCCGGCGAACGTAGCGTGTTTTCGGGCGAGCTGTTTGTTCCGGAGTAAGCGAAGACAAAGAATGGAGAACGTGCGAAGCCTGTGAATAGAGGGCAGGGTAGGGTAGGGTAATTCGATGAGCGATCAACGGTTTTTGAACGGATCACCGGTTCCGCGCTTTCACGAGCTGGTCACGATCGTTGGTTCCTGTGCGTCGTTACGAAGCAGAGGGTCGAAGCGCTGTCACGTATATGTAACTTATCGATCGTTATGCAGCGGAAAAATGTGAAAAACGACGTTGGAGTTTGGCGCGACCGGCGACCGGCGACCGGCGACCGGCGACGGACGACGGAAAACGAAAAAGTGATTGACGCGCGTAACGAAGACAAATTAAAAGGAAGCGGTGCGGTGCGGTGAGGTGCGTGTTTGGTTGGT